AGTTCTGGGAGTGTGCGACCCCTGGCCTGCCCATCTCCAGAGTCCTGAGTTCAGTTCATGGGGTATCCCTGACACTGTGCCAAGCCCTCTTCCGTGTGATCTCGGAGAACCCTCGCTGCAGCCCTTGGAGATAGATTACTAGTATTAATTACCTCCTTTACTGATGCATAGAAGGGATGCCCAGAGAGCTGAAGTGACTTAATCAAGGCCACTCAGGTAGGAAGTGACGGAGCTTTCCTCCAGTGCTGCCCCACCCCCAGCCTGTGGTATTTCCACTGTCTTAAGCTACTGCCTCCTGCTAACTTCCAGCAGCACAGACGCTGCTGGCTTCCGTGTGGACAGCCTTGGGCTCCCTTACCCAGGGTTTAGAGAAAGAGTAAGGCCTCCAAGAAGGGTGGCTGAGCTGCCCCAGCCACCCGCCCACCTGGGGCTCTGTGAGCAGTGTGTAGCGAGGTAGGGGTCCAGGAGGACGACCCAGCTCCCTGCTGCTCGCAGCCGGCTGCATGCACAGCTGGAGCGGATCTAAACCCATTACCTGAGTCAAAGGGGAAGCTCTCTGCCTCAGTGGAGCTCGCTGGGAGCTGCCCGGGCTTTTGGGAGCGGGCGGGCCAGGGAATGGAGCTGGCCAGGCTGGCTGTGCCAAGGAAGGAGGGGTCCCGCCGAGGCCGCCAAAGCCGGCCAGGCGGGAGGGGCTGGGCCAGCTGGGGCTGGAGCTAGTGTGACATCACCGGGCGGCCCGCCTCTGTCTGGGGCTGAGGGGAGGCCCGGAGCCTTTCTGGGGCCTGGGGGATCCTCTTGCACTGGTGGGTGGAGAGAAGTGCCTGCAGCCAACCAGGGTCAGGCTGTGCTCACAGTTTCCTCTGGCGGCATGTAAAGGCTCCACAAAGGAGTTGGGAGTTCAAATGAGGCTGCTGCAGACGGCCTGAGGATGGACCAGAAGCCCTGAGCCGTGCTGCCCGAGTCCCCGGACCTGCAGAGCTTGACACTGATGCAGCTGCCCGCCCTGGCTATGAGGGAAAGCAGATTGTGAGCAGCCCAGCAGGACCCCCACCCAGCCCTTGCCCCATCCCCGACTGGAGCCCTGCTGTGGAGGCAGAGCCAGCGAGGCCAGTGAAGCAGGGCTGCTTGGCAGCAGGTCTGGCCTGTGACTTGGGGACCCCTCCTGGAGGCCATGGACAGGCTGTACTGCTGATGGCCAAGGTGAAGTATGTGAGGAGCTGCCCTGGGAACCAAGCAGGAGGAAGAGGTAAGGGGCCAGTACTGTGGTAGCGAGGGGCAGGGGGCCAGAGGCAGCTGCTGGCCCCGTGGCTGGGAGTTCAAGAACCCTGACCCCTCCAGTGGGGGGAAGGGGTGTGTGCAGCTGGATCCCAGAGGAGGTCACTCCCTGCTTTCACTTGGAGCCAAACAAGGCATCCGCTGGGGCAGGAGCTGTGGACTCTTGGGCAGAGGGTGGTGTTTTGGGGCACAGGATCATGGGCTGGGATTTTGAGGACTTCATCAATAAGCCCCACTCTCCTCCTTCAGACAAAGAGCCTTTGGGGTGAAGGCAGGCGGTTCCTGGGCACAGCTCAGCAGCTGCGTGCGTGTGTGTGTTTGTGTAGGTGTGAGCTTGAGGGGGTAGTGGACTGAAAAAGTCACAGACAGCAGAGGAAGTGCAAGCACTTGGGAAGTCGTTTTTAAGCTCTGGGTTCCCATGCACCCTGGCTAGAGACTACTAGGCAGAGGCAAAAGCAAAAGGAAACGCTGTCCTACGGCAGCCAGGAGCCCTGGTTCAGAAAGTTCCCTGGAGCCGGGCAGCCTCTGCTCATCCCTCAGCTGGGCAGGAGAGGAGCCAAGGCAGCCGGTGCTGGAAGAGACATGTCACCCAGAAGTTTCTGCCACTGTGACTTGGAGCAAGTGCTGCTCTGACTTCCCCTCCCCATGCTCAAGGACACCTGATTCTTCTAGCACTGGATGGCACCGCAGGTCTCCAACTGGCTGAATGTGGCCTAGAAAGAACAGAGGGTGCAGCTTCCCCGGGACCCCACAGGGGGACAGTGCAGGCTCCACATACTGAGTCCCTTGAAAGTGCTCAGTGTTAGATAACATTTCCAAACAGAAATTCTTCACTGATCTTCCCTTCTCCTTCTGCGATAAGTGTGCCATGGGTCAGCTATTGCCTGTGCCATGGGATTATGAGCGCTCCCAGAGGCCAGTTTGGTTACTTAGAAGAGGATCTCCTTTCACCAGGGCTCTGAGGAAAGTTGAGAATGCCACTTCCGAAGCTGGTCAAATGCTCCCCACATGTATTTTTCCAAATGGAGGCAGAGCAGAATAGTGCTTATGAACTGGTTTCAAATTCTGGCTCTTTTTCTACTTACTAGCCAAGTGGTTCTGGCAGAACACTCAGCCTTTCTCAATCTCAGTTTCCCTATCTGTAAAATGGGAAAATAGCAGTGCCCATCTCCTAGTTAACACCTAACACTTACATTGCACTTATTATGAGCCAGGCACTTATCAACTGGTAGAATCCTCACAACCACTCTATAATATAGGTACTGTTATTCATCCCATTTTATATGAGGAAACTGAGGTAGACGTTAAGTGACATGCCCAAAGCCGCAAGGCTAGCAAGTGCTGGCACCAGGACTTGAACCCAGTGGCATGGCTCCAGAGTTGCTCTGAACCACGCTGCTTTCTAGGAGGAGCACACACGATGCTAGGTCTTAGCATGGTGCCTGGTGTGCTGCAAACCCTCAGAAAACACTAGTCACTGATTATTATGAACGATAACAATCAAAATTGTGTAGAGGGAAGAGCAGAGACCCAAATTCTTTCCCCGGTCTGGACACTTCCTGCTAGGGTTTTCAGAAAATCCAAGGCAGAACCAATGCCATGACTGCTACTAGTACCCATACTGGGGGGCCTTCCAGGAGCCTGGGGGAGGAGGGCTCTCTGTCTGGGGTTTGGGTTTGGGGCCACCTATAGCATGTCTGCATCTTAGAAGTCCAGACTAAGGGAAAGTGCAGACACAGTGACAAAAGAATCCGATACCAACCTTACAGGAAGAGCAGCCTCCCACCCACATGGGCACTACTTGTCTGCCTGTTGGTTTCTCCACCAGAAGCATAGTAGATGGAGCTACCTCAGGGCTGCAGGAGGATCAATGGCTAGGCCTGTCCTGGAGTTGCAGAGGAAGAGGTAAGGAGTAGCTATCACCAAGTGTGGCCACTATGGTGATCAAGTCTGGTGGGCCTTACACCAGACTACAATGGTACATCTTAGCCCAGGACAGTAGCTTTTGTCCTATGGCCCCCAGAGGTCCCAGTGGGCTCCCTGGGCCCTTGGAAGCAGTTTGAAAGCTGATGCTAAATATCTGCCTCTTTAGTACAAGGCCTCTGGGGCTGCTGAAGCCATGGGTTTCCCTGCTCCAGCCTGGAACCTTGGTGGCTCACTGTCCTCTCTGGGCAGCTCAGGCTGAGCAGAGGCCCTGTCTTGGAAGCAGTTTGAAAGCTGATGCTAAATATCTGCCTCTTTAGTACAAGGCCTCTGGGGGGGCATGGGTTTCCCTGCTGCAGCCTGGAACCTTGGTGGCTCACTGTCCTCTCTGGGCAGCTCAGGCTGAGCAGAGGCCCTGACTGACTTCATGAGCTTAGCTAACAAAAATGGGATTAATTATTACTCAGTACCAGGTAGTCTTGGTGGAACAGACAAAAATGTGTAAAGCACATGGTTCAGGAGGGCACTACATGGCATTGCTGCAAATTCACAGGCAGAGCAAGTCAGCTGTTCATCAATCCCACAACAATTTATGAAGTACCCATATGCTAAGTAAGGCACATACATGATCTCAATTCATCCTCACCACATCCCAAGGAGGTAGGTTCTAGTTTTAGCATCTCATTTTACAGAGGAGAAAACTAAGGCTCTGAGAGGTTTACTTGCCCAAGTTAAGTGATCACATTTAAGTGATTATGTGGGGCTTGAACCCAGAACTATCTGGTTCCAAAGCCCATGCCTTCCTCCATCTCACTCCACCGCCTTGTTCAAGGTGCCTTGATTTCTCTTATCCTGACTCTGTTACTGGGTCCCTGCCCTGTGACCCTGGCAGGCAAATCTGCTTGGTTGCTGTCCTACAGAATGCTGCATCACCCCCTCTGAAAACCATTTGCTTACCTGATTTCAATGCATCATTTGCTGTTCATGGAAGTCTATCTCTGCGATAGAATAGGCATTATTGTTACCCCTCTTATAGATGAGCCTCAGCACAGTTATACAGTATACCTGTAGTAATACAGTCAATGAGAGATAGAACTGGGATTCCAAACCAGCTGGCTGATTTCAAACACCCCCCCACCTAGGTGCTCTGGGATCCTCTCTCCCCCATCAGCATCATAGAACTCTGGCACCAACTCAGTGGGAGAGAACCTCAGGGAAACACTTATCTATGTGACAGAGATACCATTTGTGTGTTATCTACATCTCTACTTGGAGATTCCTTTAGGGTTGGAGAATCAGAGCTCAGTTCCTCACTGTCTACACTGAGCCACACTTGAGCAATTCCCGAGAAAACACTGGGGAGATGGCAACTGGTAGCCACAAAAGAACAAACAGACAGCAGCCCCACCCAAGTCAGGTACATCCAGCATCTGGCCTCTCTCTGAATCACAGCTCATTTAATCTGGAATGGTCTCAACTGACAAAAGGCAGACAGGGCAGGGGCTCGGCTTTGTAGAGCCCGCAGCAAAGCAGGATGAGGGAGATGGTAAGTCTAATAATCATATAAACACACAACTGAGTCATGAAAAGGAGACATGTGTTGCTAAGAGGGCCCTCCAGATGAGTGGTGCTGTCTGCATTTTACACAAGTGAAAACCGAGGCTCAGAGGTACAGCACCTCTCCCAAAGTCTTGCCACTAGTGGGTCAAAAAGCAAGGATTCAAACCCAGACCTGTGCTCATTCTATCCCAGCCCGCTGCCATCCTGGATAACCATACTGTGGAAATCTCAGGAAAGAATCAATCCATTGAACAGTGTTTCTTTTCTGTGAATTTTGTATAAAACACCCTAAATAGAAGGGTTATTCAGCCACTGGCAGCTTGGAGTTTGTGGTGATAGATAGCCCGCATCAAAAACCTCATTCTGGGGGTATATTCTGTGACAAAACTGTATTGCCTCACAGGACTGTAAGCCTTATGGGGGGTTAAAACATTACAATGTCCCAGTACATGTACACCATCAATTGTGAGACACATTCTGATCACAGGAATGTTAAAATGTTGGGTCGGAGGAGCCAGGCTTCTTACAATCGAGCTATTGTGTCAGATCTATTCTCTGGTGAAAGAACCTCTCTTGGGGCCAGCAGTCCCAGAACCTCAGTCCTGCTCTGCTGCCCAGACCTCCAGACAGGCAGACCAAAGACCACCACAGAAAAGCCCAGAATGAAATAACTCTGTTCTTATCTCCAAGAGATGCCTGAGAACCTGCCCAGATCCAGGAATGCCTAAAGTCCTGCCCAAATTTGTCTCACTCCAGCCTTCGTGAGGACAAGGTGTGTCTGTCTTAGATACTGCTAAACCTCCAACACCCACTCAGGGTCAGGCAGAGAAGGTATCTGAGGGATGAATGAATACATGAAGTACTGCAGCAAGCCTCAGATCCAGGCTCTCAAACAAACAAGCTCTCTACCCTGGAGTGCCACACCATTCTCCTGTGTTGTCCAGCCAAGGTCTCTCTGGACACCTACCCTCCCCCTTCATTCCCCCAACCCCACTCCAGCTGGAGCAGGTGCCACTACAGCACCCTCAGGTACCAGGTTAGGGTACTGATTACCCATATTATGAACACCTGCTCTCTGTCTCACCTACTACAGTGGGCTCCTTGAGGGCAGGGACCTCGCCTACCTTGTTCCTGCTCTATCTTCAACCCCCGGCACAGTGGCTGGCACAGGGGAAATCCTCGGGAAATGTCAAATGAATGAAATTTTTGAATTCCTATCTAGTAGCCCAGGTGCCAACCTGGGTACTGGGTGTTCAGACGGAGAATCTGCCCTGACCCTGCTTTTAAGAAGCTCACAGTCTGGGAGCAGACAACCAGATGAGTACACTCTGAGTCTTGGGTGCTGGGATGGAGTCAGCTATAGCCACTCCTGCGAGCTGGAGGAAGAGGGACCTCGCTGCGAATGGATGGCTTCATGGGGAGCTGGACTTGAGAGGGCAACTTAGGAAGGAAGACACGCATGCATCAGGCAGGACAGTGGGGCAACGT